ATTTCAATTAACTCTCATTGAAAAAGGTTAAAATATTTTATATATCATTTAATAATTAATTTTTTTATTCTACTAAAATTTAAAATATGAAATTAGTGCCTATCTACCTTATTTTTTAAAAATTAGGAAGACAATTATCCTAAAACTATATCATTTCAATTAACTCTCATTGAAAAAGGTTAAAATATCTTATTTTAAAAGCATGAATTAGAGTGTTTTTTATTATTTCCTATAGTATTTTATTAAAGTTATATAGTTTTGAAATAATTTTTTTTCCCAATTTTTATAATATAAAGTGGATAAACACTAATTCTTTAAAATATTATATATATTTATTTAATAATATAAAAAAATTTAAAAAATTTATAAGCCCATATTATTCTTTTAAGTATAAATAAAATATCAATCCTAACATGTTAGGTACAAATATATAGGTAAAAACCTACTTTTAACCCCTCACATTGTTAAGTTTGAAGGTTTTAGCCATTCACTTTATATTATAATATTTTTAGCCATTCACCTTATATTATAACACTTTTAATCTCTTATCTATTAAAATTGAAGAAAATAGCCTTCACTTTGTAACATTTTATTAGTTTTGTTAGTTGATTGTTATTTCTATTAACTGATTATTAGTTGATTGTTAACTGTTAAAAACCTTCTTTCAACTAACAGAACTAACTTTATAATATTTTGTTAATTCTGTTAATTAACTATTAGTTGACTATTAGTTGATAAAAATCTACTTTCAACTAACAGAATTAACAATCAGTATAAAGTGATGGCTATTTTCTTCGATTTTAATAAGTGAGGAGCTAATACCTTTAAACTTGATAAGGTGAGAGATTTTTTTTTTTTAGATGAATCAAAAATTATTATATGTAGGAGTACAAGGGGTATTCAACCCGTAATATCAAAAAGTCATAGCAAATACAATAGAGAATACATTCGGGGATAATGAAAGCATCCTCAAACTATGAAATCGTTCCAAAAACTAAAGTGAGGACTGAGAAACTTCAATGTTAAATCTACCTCTTGGGAATTTCTTGGACACATGTACTAGGGGAATTGCACCAATAGAAAAAGGGAAACATAGTGTTAGTAGATCTTCCCCTTATCCAAGCAAATGTTCTCCTTTGAATTAAGTCAAAAGTTTTATCCTCATCCCATTGTTGTGAATTGTGTATAATAGAGTTCCTTGTGTACCATATAGACCATGCAACCACCAAGAAAATCAGAAACCAAACTTCAGAATTTACCCACTTTTTGATCCCTATACTGTGAGCTTCACATAAAAGAGAAATTGTGTTAGGCAGCGTTAGGGATATCCCCCACCAGTTATAGCATCTCATCCACAAACTTTGGATCTTTGGGCATGTGGCAAACAAGTGGTCGTCATCCTCCAATTCCTTTCTACAAATGCAGCAAAAAGTCGCCTCCTCTTGAAGCTGGATACCTCTTTTTAGTATCCCTGCTTTCATCAGAAGTCCCTTCAAAATAAGGCGCCACCCGAAGCAGTTGATCTTGGACGGGATCAATTTGCCCCAAAGCTTTCTGCAAATTCTTGTCTCCACTAATCTATTTTGACTAGCCATCAAAGAATAGGCCTTGCGCACTGTGTAGCCATTTGCGGTATCGAAGCTCCATCTTCTTTGGTCTGGTTGGGATGATAACACTAGCTCTCTTAGGATGATCTCTTTGATCCTCTGTTCTTCGTCCCTTTCCCTGCCAATAAAATCATGTCTCCAGATGTTTTTCCAGATCCAAGAGTCGTTAGAAAACTGCCCCACTTCCATAACTAGGGCGTCTTTGTTGGAAGTCAAGTTAAATAATCGAGGGAAGGAAATATTTAGGGGTTCGGTTCCTATCCATTTATCCACCCAGAATTTGACTTTATCTCCCATTCCCACCTTCTAGCCAAAACCTTCTTTTAACACTCTTGAGCCGTTACCCCCCTTCTCTCCTAATTCTACAATATTCCTCCATAGGGTGGACACATTCCTAAGTTGAGTTTGGTTGATATCCCACACGGACCCTCTTCCATAGAATTTATCAATAACAACTTTTTTCCATAAGCTGCCCTCTTCCTTCCCAAATCTATCCCACCACTTCCCTAGCAACGCAATATTTCTATAGTCAAGATTTGGCACTCCTAGTCCTCCCTCACTTCTGTTCCTACACACTTTCTCCCAACTTAACCAAGCTAATTTACTCTTGTCCTCCGTATAACCCCATAGGAACTTCCTTTGTAAAGACACTAAATCATGGAGCACAACTTTTGGAATTCTAAAAATAGACATAAAGTAAATAGGGAGGGCAGAGAGAACCGACTTTAGCAACGTAACTCGGCCACCAATCGATAGGCTTTTCACTTTCCAGACTGCCAGCTTTTTGGAAAAATTATCAATGACTAGTTTCCATGCTTTCCTTCTACACATAATATCCCCAACAGGCATCCCAAGGTACGTAAAGGGGAGAGAACCTGATTTGCAATTGAGGGTAGCGGCAACCATTCTTCCCCACTCATCAGAAGCATTAAATGAGTAAAGCACACTCTTATTGAAATTAATTTTTAGATCTGACAGCAGCTCAAACCATCTCAATATCCCTTTCACTGCTTTAATGTTGTCGGGGTCTACCTTCCCCATGATGACAGTATCGTCAGCAAACTGGAGGTGTGAAATGTTCATACCAAAGGGCCCTACATCAATTCCTTTGAGAGCTTCCTTGCTAATAGCTGATTCAATCAACACATTTAAACCTTCAACAACAATTAAGAAGAGGAACGGGGCAATCGGGTCTCCTTGTCGGATCCCCCTCTCCATTTTGAACTCTTCAGTTGGACTTCCATTAACGAGGATCGAAATTGAAGCGGTTTGCAGACATTCCTTTATCCACATTCTCCATTTTTCACCAAAGTCGAGTCTCCTCATCATTTCATCTAAGAAATCCCAATTCACACAGTCGTATGCTTTTTCAAAATTTGCTTTGAAAATGAAGCTACTGACTTTTTTTTCTTTATCTCCTCTATCACCTCATTTAAAATCAAAACACCATCAATGATATGTCTTCCTCCCAAAAAAGCGGATTGGGTCCCACTTATCACCTTGGGTAATACTTTTTTAATCCTGTTTGCTAAGACCTTGGAGATGATTTTATAAAGACTATTAATCAAGCTTATAGGTCTATAGTCTTTTAAATCTACAGGATTTGACTTTTTTGGAATAAGTACTATGAATGAGGAGTTTAGCCCCCTTACCAGCTTGCCGTTTCTGGAAAACTCCTGCACAAATTCAACAACATCTTTCTCAATCACTGTCCAGCAAGCTCTAATAAGATGGAAGCTGAAGCCATCAGGACCAGGGGATTTATCGCCTCCGCATTCCCACACTGCTTGTTTCACCTCTTCTGCTGAGACTGCCCTTTCCAACCAGATTCTGTCCTCCTCGGTGAGTTGTTTAAATTGTAACCCATCTAGCTTTGGCTTGTCCCACTGCTCATCTTGAAAAATCTTTCTAAAGTATTCTCGCACTTCTTGTTTCACAATGTTGGGTTCCTCCACCCAAGAACCATCCTTATGAATGCCTTGAATCATTTTTCTCAGCTTGTTGATATTAGCTATTCTGTGGAATAACTTGGAATTAGCATCTCATTGCTGGATCCAATCAAGTTTAGACTTTTGTTTCCTTGCCATTTCTCTCCTTTTCCATGCTTCCCATAGCTCACTGAAACCTTCCCTTCTCAACAATATATCTTCCTCTGATATTTCAGTAATTTCATTCTTGCTATCAACTTCTTTGATTTTAGCTTCTGCCATATCAATTTGTTTTTCAAAGTTCCCAAAGACTTCAAGATTCCATATCTTCAATCTGTTTCTCAAATGCTTAAATTTTTCTTTGCATACATAACCCTTCCATCCCCTCACCTCTGTAGATTTCCAGCTCTCCTCTACTACTCTTCTGAAGTCTGGATGCTGATCCCAACAATTCAAGGCCCTAAAAGGCTTTGGCCCCCAGTCGCTATTAATCTTCTTTAGTACCACCGGACAATGATTTGATATCGACCTGTTTAAACCAACTTGGCAACAATCACCCCAGAAATTAAGGAGGTCGTTTGATAGGAGAAATCTATCCAGCCTACTCATAGCTGACCCATCACCCTTATACCAAGTAAATTTTCTTCTTGTTAATGGCAAATCAACCAATCCTGCATTTTCAATAAATTCATTAAGGTCCTCCTTATATCTGGAGTGCTCAGATCTTCCTCTTCTCTCCTCCATTGATCTCACGCTATTGAAATCTCCAGCAATGCACCAGAATCCTTCCCCTTCCTCAATCATCTTCAGTAGCTCTGTCCATGTTTCCATTCTTTCGTTTCTGTTACATGAGGCATAAACATTCACAATGCAACACTTTTGCTTCTTTTCTCCCCATAAGCCAAAAATTGCTAAGGCTTTTGGCTTCTCAACCATTGTTACTTTCTCAAAAAAATCTTTATCCCAAATACAAAGAACTCCTCCTGATCTACCCACCAAGGCCTTGAACACCCAATCAAAATTATCCCGCCCCCAAATAGACAAGCACAGACCCTTGTCAATTACTTCCATTTTAGTTTCCTGAAAACAAGCAAAGCTAATTCCCTCTTTTTGTAGAAGACTCCTCACCTATTTTCTTTTGACTGAACTACCAAATCCCCTCACATTGTATGACAGTAACTTCATTAATGGAAAAAATCTGAGAAGAAAACGGAGGGAGAGCCTACCTTGGTATCTCTCGACCACACCCCTGCTTGTCTCTTTCTTCCATTCTTATGAATTTTCCCAGAATCAACTCTTCTCGATTTTCGACATCGATCCTTATCTTTTTTCCCAGATCCAGCACCTTCTTTGCTTCCTCGGAGATCATTCCTTCCTTGATTCTTCTGTTGTTGCAGACAATATCCCCTTCTAATAGAGAGCCTTGTGTTACCTCCCCCCCAAAATTGATCGGCTGAACCCTTGCTTTCCTTCTTTTTCCTCGCTTCGTTCCAGTCACCAATTTCATTGATTCAACTCTAATTTCTGTAGCAGTGTTTGGGGATTTTATTGGGCTTACAAAAGCTTGAAACTCGCTGCCCTCCTTCTTGCCCGACCCCAATTTGTGTTCATCACACTGGGCTTTGTATTTGCTACCACTTGGGCTTCTAAATTGGGCTATTTCTTGGGCTACCCGATCTTTTGTTGCTGGAACTTTACCGTTACTGTTGAGGTTCCTTCTTGTTTGGTTGTCTTCGTTCCCCTCACTCTGTTTCTCCCGCTCCTGATTAGACAGTGTGCCACCTATCTCCCTGTTCTCCTCAACAACTTGCTTTGAGCCTCTCAAATTGTCAGGATAATTAATGCCACTGACATCTTTGAGTGGAGTTTGAATTTCCCCTCCCTCTGGACCGTTTGAACAGTCACATTCGAACTCGCCGAAATTGTCGCCGGGGTTAGACTCCGATGAACTCACTTCTGATTTAGTGATGGAGTTGTGTACTTTCTTCGGCCACCAAGGATCATTTCTCCAATTCTCCTTCACCACAGCAATATTGTATCAATTGCCCTTCACTCTAAGGATAAATTCTTCATTTATTGCCGATTTAGATTTGGTGGATACCAGGACTCTTGCTACGTCCAAACACTCCTTAGAGAGAGTGTATTCGTCAACTAATACACACTTACCCACTTGGTTACCAATTTTGAGTAAGTTTTCTTTAGTCCAAGCATGCAGTGGTAACCCTTGAATTCTTGCCCAGACGAACCTTTCTTCTGCAATATCTGATGGTGACCAGATTTTAACCCGGTCAAAGTAGTGAGACACCCACTCAAGATTTCCATCTACCAACTCCTGTATACTCTCCGAGTCATCACCGTCGATTAACACCAAGTTGCCTCCCATTGGAACAATTTTGATCGATGGAAATCCTTCATTAAAGAAAATCTTTGGAAGGCTTGGAATGATAGAAGGAGATAAAGCCATCCTGACAGCACATTTCATCAGCTTTTCTTCTACCTTGTCCGTTCCTGTTGCCTCTATCACCTTTTTGTACTTGAAACCTCCAGTATCATGTAACTTATTTGATTCTCTGTTTAAACTCCGCCGGGCGTCTCTGGCCTCTGATGGTGTGGGTTCTTTCTTTCCTGTTTCTCTGGGCTTTCCTCCCTCTCTGTGTTGCATGAGGCATTGAGCGTATGTCAGTTTTGAATCTGGTCTGCTTCCTCCAACCGCCTTCATGTGATCTTCATAAGTGGTCCTTTTTTTGCTGCTCTGCCATCTTGCCTTCTCTGACAACTTTAAAGTCGTTCTGCGCCGCTCTTCTCTTCTATCCTCTACAGGGTTAAAGATCACCCTTCTGTTTCCAATCCACATGTTTTCTAGTTGCTTCTTCATCGCTTGATAAACCCTGGCGTCCAAGAACCTAGCAAAACCATACCTATTGCCCCTTTTGTCCCTCTTACTCGGTATAAAGATATCCCACAGTCTTCCTCCTTTCACCGCTCTCCTAATGAAAAAGAAAAGTTGCTTCGCTCCCCAATCTTCAGGAAAATTGTAGAAGTGGAATGACACACATTGCTTCAGTAAACCCTTGTTGTAAGCTGGCAGTTTGTGCACGAAATCCTTGAAACCGGTTGTCGATTTGCCGTTGCCGTATCGTCCCCTGTCTCCACACTCTGTCTCCATTGCTTTTTTTATTTAGGCCTATTCTTTCAATGTTGAATTTTAATGTTTGGTTATCTTATTTTCTAACTTAATTTGATAAGGTGAGAGATTAAAAATAGGTTTTTGCCAAATATATACATCAGATGGACAAATGGGAAAAAGGCTAAAATCCTAGTAGGTGGATGGTCACGACGTTCGACGTAGACTGATAGACACATCGCCAACTACACTGTCAGTTGTTAGAATAATGGTTCAGTTATGGATGTTAGTCATAATGACAATATTTTTATAAAGTCATTGACTTTACCAAATGTTCTATCAATTTCAAAACTTAGTTATAATCTTCAATCATTATGACTTTTGATCATTTTCAAGCAGTCATTTTCTTTCTGTTACTCCTTTTGATCTTGTGCATTCTGACACTTGAGGTTTATTTCTTACATCCATCATGGGGGTTTTGAGTATTTTATGTTTTTTTATTGATGATGATACTTGTTTTACCTAGATATATTTTATGAATAATGGCTCTAATGAAATTGAGCACAATTTTGCAAAGAAATAGCTCGCTTCCTTCTCGAGAAGGGATGGGAAACATGCTCACACTACAAGCAAATGTACCTATATTGACGGAAGTTTTCCATCTGTATAAACCCTTTTTCCGTCAGTATAGACCCCAAAAACTATTTCGACGAACAAACTTTCCGTGGGTAGAAACCTCGTCAGTATATGGTCTATACCAACGCCCAATTCGTCTGTATAGACCCTTAGGATCTATTCCGATGGAAAAAACTTCCGTTGGTATAGACCCTGAAAAATTTTTAAAAATTTGCCGTAGGTATAGACCCTTACCTTTACAGATGGACAATTCCATTGGTATAGATCTTTTTTTTTTTTAAATTGATAATTTACTTTTATTTTATCATTTTCTCCTGCACTTATTACTAATGCCATTTTTCTGACCTACAAAATCAATCCCTCCAAAGCACACAACCATTTGTACAAATCAATCCCTCCAAAGCACTAATTAATCCCTAACCATTGGCACACAAACAGGAAAGAAAAAAACACAACTTTGAAATTTCCTAACCATTTGGACGAATCAATCCCTCCAAAGCACACAACCAATCCCACCAAAGCACACAACCGCTCAAGCTAAGCTAGTCTATGCAGATCAAACTATTCAACACAATAAAAAAGGCCATAAAAATTAAAAAAAAAATCATTTAATTGATGCACTAAATTAGCAATCATAAAAGAGGAATTCCATAGATATAAATCAATCTCAAAACAACAGATCTAAGCTAAACAGAAATTGCAGAATCCAAAGAAGTTCAATTAAATGCTTAGTGGCAGAAATTACAGATCCAAGAAGAGATACAAACATGCCTTTCAATCCCTTTGCCCATCGTTTTCTTCATTACTTTCATTTTGGCAAGACATAAGGTGTTGGCTTGAAT